GAACAGCTATCTAGAGTCAGCCATTAAACCATGGGTGCGCGAAGCAATAACCGCTAGTGCACAAGGCTCTGGACAAACCCCAGTTGTTCAGGATATACCAACCACACCCCAAAACCACTCAGCCCCAAACTATTTCAATCCCAATTTCCCAACCTTTAACCCTAGGAAACCAACAACCATCCACCTCAAGGGGAACCCAAGATACCGAACTAGTATCCTCCCCTACAACGACCAAACCCAATCTCCGAACTATGCCCTTCGATGACCTCGTAGCTGTCTTTGATCGTATCTTAGAGACGGATGAAGGCAACTGTACCCCACTTCAAAAAGCCCTTCTCCTAACTCTGGATATTCAGAGCACATGCCGTGAGAGTTTCCGTGGCGCCAAACGTTCACATGAGGATCCTGATGATTCGGATTCTCATGAGGGGGAGAACAAGCGCCAGCGGATACTTGAGCATGTTGCTTCTACAAGCTAAGCCCCGCTGCCAAACCAACCCTCCACCTCTACCAATCAGCAACCCACTACTTCAGCCAGCCACAAATCCCTAGCCTCTCTTTCTAGCATGGTCGAGCTAGACAAAACATTCCGAGGCGCATCTCCTATAGATGTTGACCAAGGACGGAATGGAAGTCCTGATGTTGTTACCTCGAGTGCATCATTCATATCAGGCCATCGGCTAGAACCTAGTTCAAAGCTGATGACAACGGGCAATCCTTGTGATCCCGGTGCTACACATGACAGGTTATCGCCATCACAGCAGCAGCAAGCTCCCTCTAGCTTTGACAATGACCAAATGCACGATGAACTTGAAGAAATACTTGTGCACAACAAATGGTCTCAGCCATGGACAGATATTGACGAGATACAGTGAAGAGCATACCTTAGGGAGCTCCTAGCTACCTGTGCTGCAGATGTGATTCTACTTGATCAAGATGAACTCAAGGAGGGAGAGAACTATGAGACACCACCCAAGGAGCTTGAGTCTATCATCAGACAAACAGCGGCTCAAATGCCCAGAAATGAAAAGCTCTGGGAGAGTATCAACACCAACGCTCCTTTCCGAGAGGAAATCAGAAAGAACATTTGGCGCAGAAAGGACAACGTCAAGGAATTGGATGAATTAAAAATTCGTGGTCTTAATCATCTATGAGGGAATAACAAGGGCGGACAACTGTTCTTACTAAGTCATCACTACATGGGGAAACAGAGGGAGGTGTGGCAACATGAACTCCAAACTGCAAAGGACCCAATTTGGAGCATCCTCAATGTGTTCGAGATAGACATCCAAGATATCAAACTCTCTGTTTATCATCTACAACGCTCTGACGGCACGGAATTCACCTGCAAAGAAAATGATCTCTACATGTTAAAGATGGATGACATCTATCAGATGTATCTTGCATTCCAAGAACATCCCGGGACTCGTGACAAGATTACACAAGATGGTTTTGATGCACTCAAGCGCTTTATGGTTAGACAAATCAAATTCTTTGCCTCTCATGATCTCCAGATGGCTCTTGAGTCAAATCTGCCAAAGACGAATCTCTCAAGACCAAAGCTATACGGACCAGAGCTTGAAGATTTTCCTGCATACTACATCTTTGACAGTCCAGTTACTCTAATCTATTTGAACCATAATGGTGAGAAACATATGATGTTCGTCGATGAGTTAAACAAGTACTGTGATGGGACACTGAAGGTTGTGAGAGAGAAACTGCAACCAATCAGAAAGAAGTTTGAAGAAAGACAACAGAAGTATGCAGATGCATCAGATGCCGAACTTCTAGAGTCAAATCGAATAGAGAAAATTTTACAAGCCATCGAGAAGCAACTTGACAGAAGAAGGTGTCTCAGGAACTATGAGCATGCGCTGAACCTACGCAAACACTACTTCAAAGCTCAGAAGTGAAGATATCCAGCAAGACGGCACTTGATCACAAAGGGGGAGATTGTTAGAACTTTTATTGTGAGTCAAGTTTGTCTGTAATGTCTTGTTTAAATAAATTAGAATAGATATACCATTTATGGTATTAGTTCTACTATGTAATAAATAGGAATAAAGGAATAGGGCCCAAAAAGGCTCTAGGCCCAAACTCCTAGGTAACCTAATTCGGAAACATGTGCAGCGCCTATAAATATGCGCGTCCTGCACAGGTACCATAGCAGATCAATACATTCTCTAGCCTTACGCTGTCAAAATAGTTCTCGATATAATAGAAGAAGAATTTCTCTGTTCTCGATATTGCTTTATCATTATCAGATCTTCTTTCTCTCTGTTTATCGATGAATACCATCTAGCTGTGTGTTAATCTGCAGAAAACTGGGACCAACAGAGTATATGGCCCAGGGACCCCCGGCCCACAGACTCCTACTTCTCCTGCACAGGCCCAATGAGCCCAATACACGCTCAGGGCCCAAATACAGCGGCCCAAGTGTCAAGAAGCCCACAATACACATAGGGGTGCCTTCGGCCTCCTTGGCCGAGGGCTCCAAATTACACAGGGTAGCCAGATTTGAGCATTCAAAGCTACTGGGAGAAAATGGCAGAAAACAGGAGCCTTCGGCACTTTCGTGCCTTCGGCATCTGGGAAGCCTTCGGCTGTACAGCGCCCTCGGCTACACGGAGCCCTCGTCCGTAGGGGGAGCCTTCGGCCAACAGCTCAATCATCGAAGATTCCCTTTGGAGACAAGCAACCACCGCATTTAATGCGGCGTCACATCCACCCACCGCATTCAATGCGGTGCACATGCGAATGCCAGTGCCACCCGATTGAGGTGACCTCTCGGCCGTTAGATTATCGCCACGTGTACTCCCATCGCATTTATTGCTGCTATAAATAGCACCCCCTTTTCCCATTGTAAAGGACCAGAACATCTCGAGTTCATTAATACAATCGCCTCTCTCTCTCCTACTTGTTTGCTCTGACTTCTCTCTAGGTTATTCTCATAATAACCCCCCGGATAAGCTACCCCCTGGGTATACTGTCCATCACTACCATATATATTGTCGACCATGCCAATCCGAGTAGTTGTTATTTTACTACTTTAGCCCTCTTTTATATTTATTGTTTGTAATTGTATTTGTTATTTGAGTTCACCTAAAAAAGAATTAATATTCCGTTGTTCATAGTAAATTACAAATATAACCTGTAGTTTATTACTACATACTTTTTAGTTATGGTGCATTACTGGTAGAAGAATATTATTTTGGGGTTGAACTACCTGCTATTGCATTGGATGAGTACCTTGGACTCCAATATGATAGTTGATTTCTATTTTAAACCTTTATGTTTTTGTTATGTTTAAATTTAATGTTTGCACTTTGAAGTTTTTGTGATATTTGACCATTGGGATATCATGAATGTATAATATAATGCTATTTGAAATTTGAATTTTTATGTAACTGAAAGTAAAATGTGTTCATTTTAAAAGGATAATAAATTTTTATAAGGAACCGAAAAAAGGTAATAACCGAACCGAATTTAACTTGAACCGAACCGAATTTAACAACTAAATTTTTAACTAGAACCGAACCGAATTTAACGCCTATAATTTTTAATACGGTTCCATCAAATTTTAACATGAACCGAACCGATCTGAGACCTAGGCATCGGGCTTCTATTTTGGTGGACCGGCTCGGTCGGGCCTGGTCCTGGTCCAATTAATTTTTTTTCCGTTGGTCTGGCTGCTAGGTTGGTGGGGTTGGGCGGTTTGGGGGGGTTTGGGGCTAGGGGCCGGGGGATTGGAATTAATTCAAAAAGACAAAATTAAAAAAAAAAAAATTAAGGCCCGACCCGAGCCTGGTACAAACCCGGGATGGTACCGGGCCTGATGTTTTTGGACCCGGAGCCCGGCCCGGACCCGACCCATTCTACCCCTAGCCTAAGCATTTGGTCAAGAGTATGCAATAGGTGACATTTAGATCAATTTTGTGGGAAAGTGCTACTTTGAAAAGTTATAATGGATTCATTCTTTTAATCATAAATAAGGATGTTTTTACTTGAACTGTAATTCGTCCCAGACCAGACTTGAATAGTTACAAAATGACAAAGAAACCAGATCAGACCAGCAAATTACAGTCCAAGTAAAAACATCCTAAATTCAAGTAAAAACATCCTAAATTCTATTGGCAGAATTGACATAAATAATCCCTACTTTTATGCATTTTACAAAAATAATCCCTACCGAAAAAGTTTACAAAAATAATCCGAACTACTTAACTCTTTCACAGAAATAAACTGGAGTCAACGGTGTTAAGTTTTTTGCATTTTAAATATAATGAAGCAAAAATATGTAGAAGCATCAACAATATTAAATGCTTCTTATATTTGTCCTTATATTTATTTTTGTTATGAATTAAATTTAATAGCCATTATTTTTCATAAAATGTAATAGAAATATTTAAAAACATACTCATCAAATTCTCATTTTTCTTTTAGTTCTAATCAATATTTTATTTATATTAATTTTTATTTCATTATCATAGAGATTTAAAATTAATTTTAGTAATTATATACGTGAGTATTAAACATTACTACGTACTAAAATGAATACAAGTCTGTGTTCAAATATTTTTATTATATTTTACAAAAAAAGTAGTTATAACTAAATTAAATTTATAGTAGAAAGAAGACTAAACAACAACATAATATTATTAGTGTTTTTATATATTTGCTTCATTTTATTTTAAATTTCAAAAAAAAAAATTAACGGAAAAGTTAACACCTTTAACTTCCGGTTTATTTTTGTGAAACAAATACCCGGTTGGGATTATTGTTGTGAACTTTTTCAGTAGGAATTATTTTTGTAAAATTCCTAAAAGTAGGGACTATTAGTGTCAATTTCACCAATTCTATTTGAAGAAGAAAACATATTTCATCCTGTTTTAAAACTTTATCTTTTAGTTCTATTGAGCAATTTCCATTTTTGTATAGCCAAACATGAGGGGAAGTAACTTGAAATCAAACACGGTAGATTTTATCATGTTGTCCGATATATAGAGCTTTCAAACCAGGGATACAGCATATATCTAATAATAACCACCTAACCATAGCATTGATTCAAATGCTTTCAAGAGGTGATGTGTGTGATACATCAAGGGAAACAATATCCTGTACAGTGATAATCCTCCCCACCAATAGATTATTAGGTGGAAATGTGCAAAATTTCAAATATCCACATGCCATAAATAAAGAAACACAAAGGGAATTGAAAAAAAATGAGCCCACCACCAAAAACTGCCAACACAGCCCTTCTTTCCTCAACTGGGCACAAAAATAAAAAATAAAAACAGGGGGGAAAGTGGAAGAAGGAATATGGCGAGAACCAATTGGCATCAACCTATATAGAATAGGAACGGGTGCAAACAGCCTCAAGAGCCTGTGTAAACAAGGCAGAGAAACTTGTCATGGCTTGGAACACACCTGGCAAGCCAGTCTGAATGTTATTGAGAGTCATCGCCCTGGTGACTTCCACCTCCTTGGAGAGTTTCAACATCTCATCTTCCACCCTATGCTGGCAAGATGCAAGTTCTGCCTTTTTCTCAGCCAATGGGTCTCTTGCATCCAATGTGGAGCCACAATTATCCGGGAGACCAATGCTGACCATGGAGTATGAATTGTAAAACCTCTTCTCGACACTCCTAAGACTAGATGCTTTTCTCTCGAGCTCTTTCGAAGCAGATTCCGTTCGCTTCTTGATCTTGATCTCTTCTGTCTGTTTCATAAATATGGAATGGACAATGTTTATGAAGCTTTTGATGGCTTCTGACGCTACAGTGTCCGGGACACGGTCAAGGGCAAGCTTCCACTCATCAAAGAAGGAAAATGCCTCGGTAGTAGTCTGATTGTTGCTGTAAGTAGTAGTACAAGGCTGCTCACTGTTTACAGGGGCTACTAGGGTTAGCCTAAACCAGCCATGGAGAGAGGAGACAAAATCCCGATGGAACTTTATAAGCCGGCAAAAACTTGAATGCCATGCAGATACAGCAGACTCAAGGTCAAGTGTTGCCTGCCTATGCAGATCGGAAGTTGATTGCCCGTTCTCTCTGTTGTTTACAAGACCTCGGACCTGCTGCACAATGTCATTCTGTGCTTCGTGGAACTGATTCATGTATTTCCACATATACATAAATCTGCACTCGCACGACAAAATCAAAGATGATTTTCCCAGAATGCGTGTAAATGATAAATATTGAATTACTTGGCATACTAATGACAACAAATTTACATACTAACTCTTTAGTAATGACCAAAACTTACCAGAGCAGTTTTTAAAAACAAACTTCAAGAGAACAGGTCAGATATAAACCATGTCCAAACTCCAAAATAAAGCTAGTAGTCATCATTATTAAAGTATCAAACTCAAAAGACCTGGAAGATAGAATCAGTAACAAAACATAAAAATCCTGCATGATAATATACTCCCTTCGTCCCATTCTAAAGTTCACACTTTCCTTTTTTGGACGTCCCATATAAAGGTTCTTATTTCTATTTTAGGAAACAATTAATACTCTTAAATGACGATTTAATCATCAAATATTAAAAATAATACATCTATAACATCACAGTTGTCATCAATGAGCCCATTATATACCCATCAAAACTATTTCTCAAAATATAATCGAATTACCCTATTTAATTATTGTCTTAATAATTGTGTCATTTTGCAATGGGAACCTTTAGGGGGGGGGTAGTATTTAGTTCATGGCTGGTGTGAGATCAGTTTAAATCTACTTTTAAATATTTTTTAATCAAATAAAAGATTCAACTTCATAAGCCAAGTAGAAACTCAGACGGGAAAAAGACTGTTTTGTTTAAAACAACTTAAAGAATTTAGTGCTACAAAAACAGATAAATACAAAAAATGGGCCCATATAGAAAATACTTACCCATGACAGAGTTCCACAAGCTGTGGGACAAGATCGGAGTCTCGTAGACCAATAATAGCAGAGGAGGTAGTGGAGACAGCCTGAGATGTGACAACAATTAAGGATCGCAGTCTTGTTATTGATGCCTTGGTCTTGTCCAATTTGCCCTCATCATTCCCTCCTCTGTACTCCTGACTTTGTAGTGCTCCTAACTTCTTTTCATGCTCGATTTTCACTACTTCTCTGGCCTACATGCACACAACTTACATAAATAGTAGAAGTTGGGGATAAAAGGAATGTGTGATGGAAAACGATGTTAACACTTGTCTAGAAAAACTCTTCATTTACTCAGCTCACTCTAGAATTGTAGCAAGAAGAGAGGATACAACCTCACAAAGAAGAAGAAAAGATAATGGAAAGACTACGAAGGTTACTAAGGATATCTGTTTTGATTCTACATATATATGTCGCACAATAAGTATCATACCAAACCATAAGCGAACACACTTAACGCTCTTTCTTTTATCAACCATTTATTTGTGTGAAAAATTGATCTCTTTTCTCTTTTTTCTCTCTCTTTCTTTTATCTTTTATCTTCTATATCTCTCTCTGTTCTTATGTTATTTTTATATCTTATCTTTCGTATGTTCTTTTATCTTTTATCTTTCTTATGTTCTTTTATCTTTTATCTTTCTTGTTGTTGTTGTTATGTTATTATGTTATTTTTATCTTATATTTATCTTTATCTAGTCCATTTTATCATACCTTAGAAGATAAGAGACGAGAGTCTCAATTGTGGTGGTTTGGTCATGACAGCAGGAGACCGAGTAATGCACCTATTAGACGACTTGAGAGGTGGGGAGAAGAGGCGGGGAGAAGAGGGAGAGGAAGACTCAAACAAACTTGATGTTGGCGGTGATATCATGGATCAATTCATGTTAGTTGACCCCAAAATCTTCTGGGGATAAGGCTTGGATGTTTTTGTTGTTTGTTGTACAATCAGAAAGGCATTCCCAATTTATTAGCAGTAAAAAAGAACTTCATAAAGCCCATGATGAAATAAAAGAAAAAATAATTACCCCTTCATCCCACCCCCACCTGTCTTTTCCTTGCAAGGTTTTATCACTGTTAGGCACAAAATTGTAGTGAATTGCTAAGGGCTCAAAACACCAAACAATCATCGGCAATCTTATCATTCCACTACAACTGAATGAATTGGATCCAAAAATCCCTCATAGATTGGCTGTTAATTTACGATAGACTTAATGATCACCTTAAAACCCATAGTTTTACAGCCTTAAGAGCAGATGGAGTAAATTACATCTGGGTGAATAATGCGAAGTAATTTTATTTAGTAACATTACTAAACGTTGGAGATCAGTTGCATAATTAAGTGTATGTGTGAAAAAGGAAAAGATGTCAAGAGAGGTGAGATCAATATGAGTACCTTCACCTCCTGATACAGTTTCTTTTCCCAAGCCAGGAGTTGCTCCAATGTGGAACATAGACTCTTAGGAGCGCCAACGTCTATGATTGAACTGGGTTCAAACTTGTACTTGACTGCCAGTGGAGGCTTTGAACTCCATCTTGAGCTCAAGTTACTAAGAACACCACTTGAATGGTAAATTGTCTCTGCAATGTCAACAATCAACGTCAGTAATCCAATTGCGCAGCAATATTAATATGAAAATCCAAAAGTTGTGTCTGATTCAGCAAAATAAGGAAACAAAATTGGAAAGTGTTAGAAAGATTACACTAAATGCAATTCATGGGAGCATAAATTCAAAATTTGCAGGACTAACATCCAAAATTATCGAACTCACTCTTCAACTGCCTAAAGCTCCTGTCCAATTGTGCACGGCCCGTCTCCAACATCTCAGATGCCTGTTCTCCAGCAGAAGCAGCATCGTCGAAGTAGTCTTTAATGGCAGCCACAATCTCCGAAAGATTTTTGTGCCTCACAACTATTCTTGTATCAGAGACCATTTCCCCTTTGGCAGTCCAAACCCCCCAGCTTGTCGAGGAGGACCCTCCACCATCTGTTTCCCATTTAGTGGCAGAACGGTTGATTGAGTAAGAACTCACCTTATCAGTAGCAGGAGCCTCATTCTTCACTGATGCAGACCCGAAATTCGGCAGCTTCAAGCCAATCTCAGATTTCAAACCCTCTTTCTCCTCATCTTCTTCCTCAATGCCAGAGGAGCTGGTCGAAGTACTATAGTGATCATGGTCTCCCCACTCGGAGCACTCTACCTCTTCCCTATCTGCTTCGCTATCCCAGTTGGTCAATTGGTGATGGCCATGCTTTGTGTGCTCTCTACACTGAGCATGGTTTTGGGTCCGCGATTTCACATCCAACTTGTGTGAGTGTGAGAAATAGTTGGAGGCCTTCTCATGGTGGCCGCTCTGGTTGTGGAAGAGAGGGCATCGTTTAGCGGTCAGGTTGTCCTTGTCGCTAGAAACTGTGTGAGAGTAATGAGAATAACAAGATGACCCATCGGCATCAAAACCATCGTCATAGTTGTCGAGCGAATTTCTGTGAGTGGGGGCGCTGTTTTTCTGAAGCTGTTCGAAGTAGTCGGAGCCTGGGGGTGAAGGAGGATAGAAATATTCCCAGTTCCAGACGGAGGAGGAAGCTTGGGAAGGAGTAGGGGGACAGGTTGAATTGGGTTTGGCGTTGTACGTGTAGTTGTCTTTCTCGAAAAGATTGTGAGCTTTGGGGGTGGAGGCGAGGCTTGACTCTGAAAGGATGTGAGGGAGTTTGACGGGCTTTCGCGGGTGTGGGTGGTGCTGGCGCTGGGAGGATATGGATGGGGCGGAGGCGATGGTAGGAGAAGGCGGCCGAAAGGAGGGAGACGGTGGGTGGATCTTAACGGGAGGAGGGATTCGAACAGAGGGAGTGCGGAGAACAACAGCTGGGGCCTGGTCGGAGACGGTGAGAGATTCTCCGGAGGCAAAAGTCGTGAGGGCGGAACCGGTGAGGCGAAGTGAGCGGCAGTAATCCGAATGAGCGGAAGCGAGGTGGTGACGAGCATAGACGGCCTCCTTCATCAGGCGGCGGCGCTCCTTGCACCGCCGTACTGTGTCCTCGTTATGGAGCTTCGAGGCTGTGCAGCCCCCCATCTTGTCTTGCTAAGTAAAGAAACAAAGGTTAATTAATTAACCTGAGAAAGCAACTTGGTAAGGAAAGCTATGGAGTTGGCCTGCCCAGCCGCCATCCGAGCCCGCACTGGTCTTGTTTGTTCGCTGCTTCACTTTCTCTCACAGGATGATATGGTGAAGCCTAAAGTTTAGACAAGGCTTCACCCTTTCTCGTGCCTTAACCCTTCATCCTTCATTCAATAATGTCACGCTTTTTAAAGTAATTTGAGTTAGTGTGTAATATATATTGAAGTACTCGATTATAAATGTGATCTATGAGACTATGACAGGATCTATTAATAATTAACTATTAGATTGTTAGTTATTCTCTAATTAGGAGCAAAACACCTTAAAATTGAAACATGACTTCAATGTTGGGAGGAGTAATAAGATCTAAAATCTAGATTGACAAAATTACCTTTTAATGAAAAAACAAATTCCTTTATTAATTATTAATGGAGAAATCGTATTCTCGGCCTTTCAAATAATACCTACATTAAAATGTAGTCCATGTGTTAACAAGTTTGTAAATGTCACTACTCAATTGCTTAAGTTGTTATAAATATGGTCCTTCAGGGGTGACATTTACAATGTGAATGCGGTTCACATTTACAATAATTCGGATAGTAGAGTGGTGACATTTACACAACTACACACATGAAAATGTGTGGGCTACATTTTAATATGGGAACTATTTGAAGGACTGAAAATGTGGTTTCCCCCAATTAATATTACAGAAAAGTTCTTGTCAAAATAACATAAGTTTATACAATTGCATCACATGGATATTAAACACCACCAAATGTAGTTCATGACCGTTGCCGTCTCCGACATCGCCACCGTCTCCAGACCCATCGCCTCCAGCAGGAATGCCATCGCTCCCCTCCAGCGAAGACATAGCCGCCATCCTCCCGCGACACCGATTCACCACTCTGACAACAACACCACTCTTTTCGACGCTGACACCACTGCTATCTAGCAAAACTATCGCCGCTCCATCTCCTCAGGTGACTACATCCTCTAGCAAAGACCTCATTCGTCGATCTCATGTGATGATGATGGTGGTGGTGGTGGTGATGCCATAGTGACACTACCTCCGGCTAACAAATCTTCTAACGCTGTCGTTGTTGATCAACCTCCAATCGGGCAAGACCGCCAAAATCCTTGTAAAACCACAAATTATGATTCATATTGTCATTTTGAATTTAAGGGAAAAGTGTCAAATAGGCCCTCTCACTAATACGGAAAAGTCAATTAAGCCCCCGAACTCAAAAAAAACACCCAATTAAACCCATGAATTATAAAAAACGAGGCAAAACAATCATTTTAGCATGTAATAAACCGATTCCAGGTACACCTTTACACGTGGCGACAGCCGACAGGTGGCCACAAATGGCGACACGTGTGCGACACGTGGACTAATGGAACCGGGAACCGGTTAATTACATGCTAAAAGGGATGTTTTGCCTCGTTTTTTATAGTTCATGGGTTTAATTGGGTGTTTTTTGAGTTCGGAGGCTTAATTGACTTTTTCGTATTAGTAGGGGGCCTATTTGACACTCTTAGTCGGGGGGCCTTGATGTGCACTTTGTCGTGGTGTGCACTCAAAATAATAAATCAATACAACAATTATACGTAGTATAATGAAGTAAGGTTCGTATCCACAGGGAAAGGAATACTTCTCTTTTTATAGAATAAGAAATAAGTAACGAGGGGGGGTTATGATTGGTTTATGAACTTAAATTATATTTAAACACGAAGATGAACGAGTTATGTGGTTTAATTAATGAGAAGAAGACTTGGCTTTGCTTTTATCCACTTAATGAAATGTTCGTCGATCCCGGTTATATCTTTAACTATCTTCCTCTCGAATACTCAATCGAGGAGTATATCCAATTCATTGAGGGTAGTTATTAATAACGAGACGCGTTCATTAATAAAACTTACTATCGAGTCAATATAGAGCAAGCGTCGTATATTAACTTGATAGTAGCAATAAACTTAAGATGAAAACAATTGAGATTGATAACCTCAACACAAGCGGTTTATTGGTTTAATCAATATAATTAATTCTCCTTGGTTTATTAACCATGAGAAGCATGCATTAACAATCCAAGTTTACTACCATTGAAAGAACCGAATTAATAACAAGCGTATTAACCGATTGATTCTAGTAATAATTAATATATGAAACAAAACTAGTTGATCCTTTAAGTAATGTTCAAAATATTAATATGAAATATGAATAGGAATTAATTAATACTCAAGGAAGAATATTAAAGAAGATGAATCCTACTATAGTTAATATCAAGATGTTAACTAATTGTCATCTTAGTAACACTCCCCAATATTAACATAGAGGAAGAAATAGCTATTACTATGACTAATGTCAAGATGTTAACTAATTGTCATCTTAGTAACACTCCCCAACATTGATATAGAAATAGTATTTAAAGGAAGAATTAATATTCAAGGAAGAAGATTAAAGAGAATAACTCACAACTTACAAATTCATTAAGCTTCAAAGTCGCAAAACCAAGATGGAAGAGTTTAGCTCCTCATTTGGAGACTAAACATGAAGAAAATATAAAGAAAGAACTTATCTAGACTGAGCTTAGAAGTGTATAGGAATTGGTTATTTTATTGTGAAGGAAAGGGGTGTATTTATAGGCTTTTGGGAGCTGCAGGGTCTGATACCCAATCGGGTATATAGGATACCCGATCGGGTATCTTAGGAAATTGCCCAGAAAGTCACTTTTCTGGGCATACCCGATCGGGTATGTCGGCATACCCGATCGGGTATGTGACAAATCTTCACGAAAATTTGCTCCCACGATCATTTGTTCCCAGATTTGATTTGGACAATCGAATCAAGCGAATACCCGATCGGGTATAGGCAATACCCGACCGGGTACATGAGTATTTTTTCCATATTGAAATCTTTCTTGTCTCCTTGCACTTTCCTTGATCTTTTAAGGTCCAATTTTGATCCCTTGGATGATCTTTGACCTGTTTAGCTCAGAATAATCCTAATTTAAACAAATTACAAATAAAAATGAAAATAAAATATTACACCAAAAGTGTGTAATTTCCACAACTAGAACTAATAAAAACTAGTTAAAAATATAAACATACAATTGGAAATGACACGAATATCAGGCCTATTTGACACTTTTCCCTGAATTTAATAATGACATATTGGTGTTGTTGGTAAGAAATAGCGTGGGGAAGAAAGAAGCAGCAATTTAGTGTTGTGAAAAAAGTTTCAGGTTACAAGAAGGCTGATGGTGTATTTATGGCTGTTTACAACATGCCCACTGATGAACTATCTTATAAACTAATACTAATGTTAATGGGCTAGCCGATCCGGTAAGCCATAAAATAACCCCAGACGGATCCCTAATAGTTGGGTCGTGTTATAGGCTTACTAGGTCCCATTATCAAGTATAACGGGTTGATCGACTGAATTAAAAGGGAGTAGTTAACCTACTTTGAGTTCGATCCGGTCGTTAGTTTGACTGACCGCCCACTAATGAGTTTTGAATTTGACCCCCACTACTTGCGAAGGGATGGATGCATCTTTGTCCATTGAGCAGTCCGGGATCTTCCTTTTCAGGTTAGCAGACCGGGGTGATCGTTATTCGATTAGCAGTTAGGGGTCTTCCTTGTCTCGATCAAAAGACATCTTTCTTTAATCATTATGAGAAGGTGTCTCGTTAAAACCTTAATACGAAAAACCCTATGAGGAAAAAACTAAGGAATGAAAAAAACGTACATTGGCGCCTCAAAATGAATCAAAGGAAGGCAAGTCTCCTAGTCACTGGGTGATCGCGTTCTATAAAGGCTCAACCTTGGTCATGTCCACTTTAATCAACTTTCATTTGTGGTCACCCTTCAGATCTCAACTCTTGCATACCTGTCAGCTAGCATGTGTTAGACCTCCAAGAGCAAGTTATACGTACAAGAGTAGAGCGGGTGTGCAAGCGCGGGCCTGATGTACGAGCACTAGATCAAAGTTAGATATTAATACTGTATGAATTAATTAACTAAGATGAACTAAGTTTAATTAGTCCTAGTTAAATCTATTTGTGTGTTGCATGAGAATGCCTATGATCCATAACACATCTACAACATTGTCTATGTGAAAGATATTAAAATATACTTTAGAATATGTTTTAGAATATTTTAGGAATATACTCTAGGATATTAGTATTGCATAGAATCATATAGGAATATTATATCTTTGTAATGTACATTTATAGGGACTTAACCTCCAATGAAATACACATAAAAGTATCCCTTCTTCTTCCTTATACAACATTGGTTCATTTTATATTATCTTTCAACATGGTACCAAAGCAATTCTGCTCCATTTCAGTCAAATTGCAGACATTTTCACATTTAGAACGTCACTCCAGAATCTCATCTAGAACCTCATTTAGAAACTTAGTGGAACCTCTCACCTCCAACCTAATCAGGTACACTGCCTCCGGCGACCTCACCTTCGAAACCCGCTCTAGAAAATCGTCGCGCGTCAATCACACGTGTCAATGGTTGTCTTCAGAGCCGTTGCACACGCCGGTACACGATGCTGACCCGGCAGCACACATTTGCAACGTTCACAACACGCCAGCCACACTCACTAGCAAACATTTGATAATGACACGCCGGTACAAGCAAATTCTCCTTTTGATCAGGTTCATTCTAATGTTTGGGGTGCTTGTGGTGTACGCCGATGATATTGTGAATATAGAGAGTGATAATGCAGATATTTTGATTCTCAAGAATTTTCTTCATAGTCAATTCCATACAAAAGATCTGGGCTCATTGAAATGATTTTTGGGGGTTGAGGTCAGTGGCGGAACTAGAAAATAATTTAAGCGGGGAACCACATTTCTATCGACAATAGATTGTCTAATCCTACTCCCACTCTCATTACCATCCGCATCTATGGGTGTAGCTCAAACAGAAACATTTGAAAAACTAGCACCCGAACTTATCGGTGTTTTAGTCCCGGGGGGGAGGTATTTCTCAGTTGACATTCCCTAGTAATAATTACCGAAAACAAAAAAAATTATTCAAACTATTATCAATTCATAATTTAATACCACTGATACATTACATACTTTTCAAAACATATTTATAAATTTTAAAAATTCAATAATGAAATATCAAATATTTAAGACAAAA